TTCTTCTTTAAGTTGATTCAAGTGAAGCCTTTCCTTCCTTATTTCACCTTTCTCAAGCTTTTCCTCATATTTTTTTTTCTTTTCTTTCTTTTTTTTTCTTTTTCTTTTCTTTTTCAGGATCATTTTTAATCTTTTTTTTTTTCTTTTCTTTTAACTATTTTTTCTTTCTTTTTTTTTATGTGAGGATTACTATATCTGGATAGCCTTTATTGATTTTGAACTTCACTATCCTCTTCTTAAATTAAAAAATTTTTACATTCCTTCACTTTAAAAATTTATATTAGCCTTAGAAATTTTTCATAAAGTTTTGTTCTTTTCTTCTTATATTAATCTCTAAGATTCTTGATATTTCAAAAATACAAATTCCTTTACTTAAAATAAAAAAACATAGTCTTTATCTATCATACCAAATATCTTAATCTTTAAAATTAACCTTTATTATTGAAATTTTTTACTTAATTTTACTATATATTTAGAAATAAAAATATAGTTATCTAAAGTGAATCAAAAAAAATGTAGGCTCCATAGGAAAAAAAAAATTAAATTTTAAAAATTTTTTTTTTCCCCCCCCCCCCCCCCCCAAACATAATTTTTTAAAAGATTTATCATGAAGAACTGGAAAAATAAAGGGTGAAAGAAAATATTTAATATATAAAGAAAAGACTTATCTGTTGAAGATTCTGGTTTGAAACTTAACTCTGAAATATTGCAGGTGCTAATATGAAAAGCTACAAGACTTAAAACATCTTTATTTCCAACGTCTTTAAAGCTTATAATTAGAAGCTTATTTATTTCCAACATCTTTATTCTGATTTATTTCTCTTTTAGTTGAATATTTAGATTAGTAATATGTATTATTAAGTTACCTAAGATAGATTATATCTACTTTATTTTGTACCTAAAATAGATTGTAAGATTGTTATTTAATAGAATGAAAGCAAGGGGAAAAAGGAATCGAGACTATTCAGATTTCACCCTATTTTTTCTCAAAACTTTGACATATACATATGTATATCTATGTGTGTGTGTGTGTGTGTGTGTGTGAGCGATCAAATAACAAGTCCAACGTTATCAACTAGAGCTCTGCTGATGTTCAAATGGTTAAGAATATAAGCTTAAAATAACTGAAGTTCAAAATCGGCTTGCTTATTTAACAAAAACTCGAGCACAAATTCCTTAGTGAGACGAACATAAATTCCATGTGAATAATGAGATGTTTTTGAAAGCTCCTACCCCATTTATTTGAAACTTCAAGGACGAGTTCAAATTGCCCCTTATTCCTCTACTGACAAGAAATTTATGCAAAATAAGTTCTTTTGTTATCTAATCTTGCATTTGTAGATCACTACTAAAAAAAGCTATGCTGTTCTTCTTTGTAAGAGATGCTCAAGCATAATATATCCTTCATCAAAAGTAAAACTATTTCATTGAACCAGAAATCATCAAAGTGCCTCTTTTAATCTTTATGGACCAGCCAGGATATTCCAATCAATCCAACGTAAGCAAAATAAAGCAATTCATCTTTGGTTTTTATACTACGAGCAAGCACCGCCCCACTCATCCCCTGTTCAGAAGAGACAATGACAACATCCCAAATAAAGCAAGAAAAGTATGCCTTGAGGGGCTTTCTCTATCACATCCTTCGCATAAGTACTCTTCTATTTATTCCTAGCGTGCCCCACATCTCTTACCTTCTAAATATTCCATCCATCATATACAAATCAGCACCTAAACTTCAATTATTTGCTACATGAGAAGAAAGAGCCATCAGCCAACTTTCCTCCATTTTCTAATGCAGAGATGGATAGAGAACAGATGGTAAGTCTCCCATTCTCAATTCAATTCCATTCAATAAAAGCATAAATACTGATATGGTTGAAAAGTTGAATATTTAAATTCAATACTTACTTTGCTATGAATTTGTAGGTAGAAAGCTCTAGTCACAGAGTTGCATGTCAGAATGGACTGCAATGGTTGTGCACGGAGGATTAAAAGAGCTTTGCATAAATTTGATGGTAATCATCCCACTCCACCTAAAATCATATCATTTTATTATTTTCAAGTCCTAAATGTAAATTCTTTAGGCATATATGAAGTCTACATCGATGTCGCTCATCAAAAGTTGACAGTGGTGGGAAGAGTTGAACCTGATAAGATTGTACAAGCCATTAAAAAGACTAGAAAGATTGCCACCATTTGCACGCCCGTGAAGGCCATCGCTGCGCCCAGCAGCTCAGAGACACCACAAGCCAAACAGGCAGAAAACAACAATAAACCAAGCACTGAATATACAAATCAGGCCCCAACTGAGGCAATACCCACATCAGATTCGTCCAAAGATCGGCAACCGGTAGAGAATCAAGCTCCAGGTGTCAAGCCAGTGCCTGAATGCAATGAGGCAGCATCTTCAGAGCCTAAAGATGTGGAGGAAATACATATGATGAATCACCACCCACATAATCATAGCTATAAGGAACGCTGGAATGCTTATCCAAGAGCACCACACTGTTTTATTCACAGCTACAACAACTATAGGCCATCTCCCTCCAATTCAGACTACATTTGCAGCAGGATAGCTTCTCAAAGGTTAGAGTTCTATGAAGATGGAGATTACCTCAACCAACAGAGTGGAGATGGAAGCCAGATTACTTCTATTTTCAGCGAGGAGAACCCAAATGCATGTGTTATAGTATAAGATGAAAGGCTCAAACTTGGACATTTGTGAGCCAAAGCAACTCTTGTTGTATTGGCTTAAGTATTGATTCAGGAAGTACTATGATTAGGAATAAGATAGTGTAGAGGATAGAAGCTATAGATAATAAAAGTTGGGGAAGTAGAGAAAAGAGAATTAGATTTTTAGCTTGTGGGAGTAGATAATGTTCAGCATGTGCCACCAACTCTGTTTCCCTGAGTAAAGGATCTCTAGAGAATTTGCTATGCAAAGCAAGTCGATCCATCAAAATTAACAGTTGTAAGTCGAAGAAAAACACCTCTGAAGTTCCTTCTATCAAAGAAGGATAAAGATAGAAATAGCCTTGGGGTTGTTGAGTGTAAAATAAGTATTGCTCTCTGAAGAAGTGAAGGCTTATTCAAGCTTATGTTGGCTGGAATCTCAAAGGATGAATTCAGATGAAATTCTTGGGAAGAAATTCTTGGGAAGTTTCTTCAATTTCCTAGTTGTTTTTATTTGGCAGCAAATTCATGTTGTTGTGCAAAACAATATTTCTGTAGCTCTATGTTGTTTGCAGACAGCCATCCATGCGATAGATGTGTGAAATTGTAGTCATCAACATCTTGCAAGCTTTCTACTTCACAGAAATCTACTAAAATGCTCATAAAACATATAATAATAATTAATAGACTAACAAATTCATAAATACAGATATAAAAGAAGTTTTGAGTCTCATATTATAACTGTGTCATAAACTTGAAGAAAGGCCTAAAGCACTTGTAACTTATAGAAGACACATATGGGCATGCATATTTAAAAAGTAAATACAAGGTATGATTTTACAATTAAACGCTAACTTCATGTTTCAAAGAACGAATCTATCTGATGAATGCCACCGCAAAATCTCTCTAATGTATGATTGAGACAAGGCTTTGCATCAATGGTGTTCAAATTCATGATATTTCCTCTTCTGATGTCATTGAGACTTTTAAGTGATTTTTTTATTTAATACTAAGCGCTCTCTAACACTTATGCAAATGGGCCATTTACATACACACGACACAATTCTTATATATTTACACATTCAACACATAAACTTTGATATGTACATGCATACCACTCAAACCTTTCATATCACATCAATAATACCACAATTACTAACTTTTTAAGAGTGAAATACACCTTTTCTTGCATAGATTTATAACAAGTGTTATAAATGTAAATATCAAACTTTAGATGTTAGATATACAAAAACATATAAATGATATGGTATGTATGTAAATTTCCCAAAATTTTGATTTGGTGACTGTTTTTAGTCAAATCTTAAATGATCTCAATAAAATTAGCTGTAAATCATCAATATTTTATAGGGAGATGCAGAAAAAATTATCATGCTATTCGACTAAAATGCATCCCTGGTACTTTAAGGATTTTTATATTGAAATAGCTCCTCCTTTACTTGTAAGCAACTTTTTTCACTTTCATCAAACGCAAAGACGCCAATTATATTTGTACGTGAAAAAAATTTAAAATTGAATCTTTGCAGTTTTTATTGTGCAAAGATGTATTACTTTGAATCAGATGGAATGAAGGAGGGTCAGGCAAAGAGATTAATGGTTTATGAAGTGCCGAAGATGTAGAAAGGCATGAAAAACCTCTTCATTGTTGCTAGAAAAGGGCAGCTGATTGGCGCAAAGCATACCAATAATATAATCCCTATAGATAATTGAGAGCAAAACCAAGAATCAACATATTGTCCATCAACTTCCTTAAAAAGAAAACAATAAATATTAAACCATAGAGAAATAGAGAAAGCCGGGGCGTGCTTTGACAACTAAATTCTCCCCCTCCTTCCTTGAATGTTGATATCATCAAATCTTTCATCTTCATACTGACTGAATGAAGTAGGGATTTACATTTATAAATATAAAAAATTATATTTACGTATTTACTCTCTGAAAATTGTGTTTATTTATAGCATCTAAATTTAAGAAAAATTAACTAACATGCCAAATAATTTTTATATATTTATATATCTAATACATAAAGTCTAATGTTTATGATATTACACTTTGATGACATAACATATTTATAGTATTACACTTCGGTGTCATAAAACTATGTATGCATATATAAATGCATAAAAATTGTGTGATGTTTAGGACATCAAATATATGGCTTTATTATCCTTCATTACCCTACTTTTGAAACCCATTTTAGTTCAAAAAGCCAAGCTAAATTGATTCACTCATTCCACAATAACTTTCACCTAAAATGTGAAACTCAATAAAAAGTTCAATCTCTATATGTTAGGCCATAAAGATGGTGAAAGCTAGCCTTTTTATTTTATTTTATATGAGTTAGATATGATTGTTTAAGAAAATTTAATTATTAGATATTATTGGGACACTACTTAAATTAGGTTTTGTTGTTTGATTTTTTAATGTATATATGCTTATAATTATTTTATCATCACAATATTTTCATATAGTATAATTAGATTATTTGTGGTTGATTTAATGTATATTTTGTTATAATATACCACCCAATTATTATGGTAGAGATTGGAATCGAAAAGGCAATCAGAATAAATGTGAAGTAGCTAGGCATCATTTTAAATTGGTATATTCTATTACTTTTATGAGATATTGTTATGATAAAAGGCACACATAGGAGAATAAGATCAAATGAATGATAAAGTAATGAGTAAATTGCATCATTCTATAGGTATTATATTGCTAGTATTGAAATCCAATCGGTTCTAACATTGCATAAATGATTGAAACAATATAATATTTATGCAAAAATCAAAACTAAACTATGTTAAATAAAAATATATCCAAGTATGAAAAGGCACTAAGTTCGCTCAATTGTAGCCACCAATCTCCTCTCAAAGGCTCCTCTTCAAATTATGTCAAAACAATCAATAGTTTCATTTGCATTAATACTATTGTCACATTTTATTACAAATCATTTCTCAAAAATTTCAATTTACTGCACCTAACACAATAGGAATTTAGTTTATTACCGACGGTCAAATATCGTCAGTAATAACAAATAAACTGTAAGTAATATATTTACCAACGGTTTAACTATGACAAAGTTGACGTAGCAAAAATACTTATCGATAGTTAAATTACCAATAAATTTAACGACGATTTACATTAACCGTCAATTAATCGACATACCATATCTCTCCCTATAGAATCAAAAACATGTCATGTTTAACCATAGCTTGACCGTCTACTATATAACAGGCAAAAACGTCTGTAGAAAAAGTGTTGCAGTTTCGTTTGAAAAGTATCGCGCTTATGTCAGTAAACTATCACCAAACCGTTGGTTGACTATGGAAATTTACTGACTTCTCTGTCTGTAGCAAAACTGCAGCACTTTGCTCTGACATAACTTATTCAATTGACCATCAAAAAACATTCACTTGTTCGATAAATCATCGTAAAATCGTTGATAAGCCCTCAAAAACCTATACCATCAAGAAAAAAAATATAAAGCCATCTTTCAATGCTATAATCTACATACCTATAATTGAAACAGATCAATCAAAACACAGCACAATGCAGTAACAAAACTAATTAATGGATAAACCATATACATAAATAAGATGAATAATTGAATTAAAATAAATAAAATGTACAAGTTCACAATAAAACTAATGTTCGCAAACAATAAATTGTTCAATATACAATCAAATAAAAAAATAACCCCTTACTCATCCTCTTCATCATCACGTGTCCTCCCCTCATCATCACCATCCCATACTCATCCCGTAATGGCTTATTCCCTTTCTGCAATTCAGAATGCAGCACTGCTTTGATCTCTGCCCTCATCTCCAATCTCAAGGCTGCTACCTAGACAACAATCTCAACAACAACCTGGAGACGCATCACCTTCTTCTGTGAATTGGAAGTAGATCCACTGAATGTGCTAGAGGTCGAGCATGCATCATAAGTCGATAACTAGGATCCCAACCCGTAAACCCTAACCTTCTTCCCACCAACAACCTCCCTCCAGAGGTCGTACTCATATGGATCGTGAGATGTGCCTGAACATAGGCCGACTGCTGAGATCTGCTATTCTTGAGCTTCAGAAAGGCCTCCTACGAAAACATATGATTAATAATCATGAGAGAATAAATAAATTTTGATATTTATTTGAATTTTATACATATTAATCTCTTAATTATCTGAGTCTCTTGCGATCTGTTGTTCACCCAAAACTGATCCGACTACCGCTTATGGGTGCGCTCATGTAACTCTGTAGCAATCAACCCCCATTATTTCTCCAGTTTCTATCAATGTAATGGAATAGTTAGCATACATTTAATGTAAAATAAGATTTAACGCAAAAAATTAAGTCTTACCACCCTTTTCTTGTACTTTGTATGTGAGAAGGCTCCACCGATGTGCTTTGAGGTCCCATGCCCCGTAGTCAGAGTGGCGATTTAGCTTTGGTTGCTTCCGCTTCTTCTAATACTTTAGAGATTCCCAGGCCCTAAACAATGCAACAAAAACATCCTCAACCACCCACAAAGGGTGCTCATGTGTCTGGCGTATACCACGAAACTAGTCTCGTAGACGATCAATCCCCTTCTGCTCAAAGTTTCTGCAAATGTGTGCCTCCTCCTCGAGGGGCTAGGACCATTGCGAATATAAATTTAATTATAAAGTGTTAGATTCATAAATATAAATAAATAAATGTAATTATTGTGTTCAAGATTTACCTTAAACTCACCAAACCACATATCCCAAATTGTGGTCGAGATCTCCTTCCAATATAAGAAAAAGTAGTCGTACCTGCTCTGAATTATATATCTGATGGAATGGATGGCCAATGTAAGGGGGACTAAATATGAAAATAACATATAAATAGTTTTGTATTAAATAAAAAAACACAAAAAAGTAATGTGGGCATTAAATTAAAACTTATGTTTTCCCCACTACCTTGAGCTAATGACAGCTCCTGGTGCTACTCGAACTCGACGGAGCATCGATAGCAGCAGATGTTGACGATGTTGGTGTTGTTGTGGTTATGGTTATTGGATGTGGTGGTGTCGTGGTCGCGAGTGTTGGCGGTAGTGGTGTCGTGGCTAGTAGTAGTGTCGTGGCTAGTGTTGGTAGTGGTGATGGGGACGTGACTGATGGAGGAATTGGTGTAGTAGTTGAGATTGGAGGCAGTGTGTGTGTGGTGCCCTCTATACCACCAAATCCACGGCCTCGTCAGCTTACGAACTTTCGCAAGAGAACACGTCCCTCGACCGGGCTGGCATACTGCCCCTTCCTCCATAAGTTATCTGCAAGCAGAAAAGTAAATTTAATTAGTACATCTACATATTATTAAAGATGAAAGTACAATAATATGCAGTACAAATAAAGGATAACACTAAATTACATGCGTACAATTTACAGACCACTGTAATTGAAAAAAATAAAATTTCTCTGTAAACGAAAAGGAAAATTGTAACGTGCAACTTACAAACTACTAAAACTGACAATACAGAACCTTGAAAAAGTTAAATCCTAAAAACTATTTAATACTTTAATAAACAAATCCTAGTAAAT